TATATATATATATATATATATAATTAATACCAATTATTATTAATAATAATATTAATTTTAATCTTATGTAGGCACATTTTAAGCATAAACATGTATGCATAATCAAAAGATTTTTAAGTTTTAAATGTGGAAAATATTGCACATAATTATAAATAGTTTATAATAATACTACTACTAATAATAATAATACAAATAAATAATTATTATTGTTGTTGTTGTTGTACACTTTTTGTTATCATTGTACAATAATAATAATAATAATCATATATTATTTGTAAAAAAAATCTTAAGTAAAATTTATAAAAGATTAAGCACAAACATTTTCGCATAAAAGGTTTTTAAGATCTTGATAAACATTTTAATCAAATTTAAGTTTATTTAATATTTAAGTTTTTGACTGCTAGTGTTTGCTTTAACACTGCATAGACACCTTGTCTATATGTTTATTATCCTGTGCACAAATGTTTTTCCAAATGCATTCTGTTCATGTTCAGTATACATTGTTTATTTTAAATAGCTTGTATTTACACTCAAAGCCAGCTTCATGTTGTGTTAGTTAACCTATATATCAGGTATATCAGTCATGTGGAAGAAGGTGAGTATGTGTTAGAGATTGACCTCAGGTCATGTCAGACAGCAGTGCAGATGTGTGACAGTGTGTCAATCTCATGCATGGCTGCTTGTGCTACACTCAACCATTTGTTCACTAACAGTGTCTGTAGTACAACCCTGTGTCTCTAACTCTGCGCCGCCCATTTGATTTACAGCTGTAAATGTCTAATTACATATCTCAACTTGGATTGATACTGTATGTTTTTAAAAACATACATCCACATTGTTACACGCCATTTGATTCTTGTACTGTACATCAATGCCATTGACATTTACGAGGTTATAGAGAAGGTACATAGTCTTAATAGTGGATTTGCCCTGAGATTTGGTCTCATAGTGGTATTTTGCTGTAGGATTCAATAGTTAAAGATTGTGAGATTTAAAGTTGAACGTGCACTTGTACATAAAGACCTCTAGGCTGTTTGTGTGGGTGATTGTACAGTTACACAAGCACAAATCTGACAATCATTATATCGGACTGAATGTGATCCATGTTGGATAAATGTCCCAGATTTGAGTCGGTTACAGCAGACTTAATAAAGCTTAAGGTTTGCACGTATGTATTATCAGTTTGTGATGAAAAGAGTCTGTTGTTTCCTCCAGCTGCCTAAAGAGACAAAGTTCAGTGTCTACAGTCTATAAACCTTTAAAACCTAAAGCAGATTAACATAAATATCTATTGTATGTATTATGTGATTAGTTGGACTTTACTTCAGTGTATTTATTTTTCTCACATTTTTACTATTTCATTATAAATAAATACAATTTTTCGTTCTTGATCCTAAAGTAATATAAGACGTTAATTGTATTCCATTGGTTGTGTGAATGTGATATACATTATATGTTGTCAGAAAGCTTCATCAGTCCTACCTTTTGTAATGTGAATTGTAATGTGAGTTTTACCTGTGCTGTATAGTGGTTGTTCAGTATGAAATGATAAATAACATTTATTCTTTCTTGATCCTAAAAGAAATTACCTGTTGTTTGGCTGCTTGGTTGTTGAATTGTGTTCCTGTTTATTAATGGAGTTACAGAGCAGCATTCTTTATATCTAACATTAAATGCATTAACATTTAATGCCTTGTTTTAACCCATGGCTTTATTTATCTTCTCCTCCCTCTCTCTTCATCCATAACCTCTGCCTCTTCCTCGCAGTAATGCGCCCACTTAGCATGTCTGTCAGTTTTGACTCATCAGGTAAAGACTTCACTGTGGCTTTACTGCTGTCAGCTCACTGACCCTGTGGATTCTGTGTTTGTGCCAGACCCCTGTAGTGGCTCCTACCCTCATGTCACGCTCCTCTGGTGGTGGGGTCGTGGCAGTGAACCTGTTAGTCCATAGAGGAGGAAGGGGACAAGGCAGTGCCTCCAGTCTTGAAGAAAACCCTCTTACATTGACAAGACTGCATGTCTGTGGATTGAATTCTTCAAACATTACTTATTTAGTTAGGGTTAGAATATGCCACACAACTTTTGCTCTGATTTTGTTCACAGATTTTTGGTCTGGACGAGTCAGCAGTGGAGATTTTGGACTGTCAGAATTGACAGATTTATAGAAAATCGTGTAGTATATGATAGGCACAGACTTTGATTGTTTTTAGCTTCAGACTATTCCAACCTGTCGGAGAGAGTGTTGTAATTGTAAAAATCAGAATTAGATTAGTTGTCTATTGTATTAAAAATAGAATGATATTATTTTAAGAAATAAAGAGAAAGTTCAAAGGAACTAAGAAATAAAAATTCAAAGAATTCAAAGAAATAAAATATCAGTTTTAAATGAAAAAACTAAACTTAAAAAAACAGAAATTACATTTAGATTGAAGTACAAAACTGAAATAAATGCTAAATAGAAATATATAAAAAAAACTAATACAATGATAAAAGGACATGACAAAATGAAAACAGAGAATACATTTCAAATATTCAAATATGTTCAGATTTTGAAATTTGTGTACTGTATTCCAGTTTCAGGATAACTTTCCATAAAATCTAGCTATGATATCAGTTATTCCAATAGGTTTACGGCTAACCAGGTAAGCCACATTCAAATAAAAACATTCAAATCAAGAGGATAAATCAAAGATTTTATAAGCTTTTCTGTGAGCAATGGCTTTCAGCAGGGCCGGGTTTACGCATAGGCATTCTAGGCACGTGCCTATGCTTGCTCATCCAGGAGGGGCACAAACACAATGAAGAGATATATAATATTTTTGTTATGCTATGGGCTATCTACAACAGTAAAAGAACCAAAACCCCAGAAGAAATTGAGCAAATAAATATAGCAAATAATAGGGTAAAAATGACAAACTGTTTCCATGTCTTCAACCTTTTTTATGTACGGAAATCACGCTTTCTTTCTCCCAGTCTCTCTCACACACGCACTCGTGCACACACGCTGAGACGCGAACAGAAACTTGTAATCAGTGCTGCGGCTGCCCCGCAAATTTATCAATAAAAGAGTTTCGCAGCTGAAAAGTTTAATGACATTTCTCAGTAGCGAGGTTCTTGAAGCAGTTCAACTTAAAGATTCACTATTAGTAGACGCTGCTGCTGAATACTGCTGAGAGACGCACAGACGCAAGTATTCACACACACTTAATCTCTCCCTCTCTCTTTCACTCTCTCTATCTAATAACTGCGTTAGACTGCATTAATAACTGTGTTAGCCTGCATATCAATGGCTCAAGCCTCTGTTATTAGCTCTAAAATGACGTTTTGGAATTTGCAACTGAAGGTTTGGGATGAGGTGCATAAAAAATTAGCTAGTTCAACACACACGAGATTTCAGGACGGAAACATGTCAAATGTCTTGAAAGAAATCAGCTGAACAATTGATTTGTGATTGTGACTCCAGGCTGTTAAAATTATTAGAGAAATAATGCACTCCCGAAGTGGTTATGTGGCCACGCCGCACCTATTAATGGAATGAAATGCAATTAGTTTGAATTCTCAAACAAATTAAGAACCTGCGTTTGATTTTTATTGACTGAACGCTGTAACGGTTTCCACGGATTAAGAAATATTTTTGTTTGCTTGGGTGGTAATTTTAGGCCTATTATATTAATAGGGAAGGGGGGCCCAAAAATTAGTTTTGCCTATGTCACGAAAAGAGGTAAATCCGACCATGGCTTTCAGTCAAATCCATTCAACTGTAGATGCTCTTCCATGTTTGTAGCCAACATTAATACATATAGTGATGGTTGTTCAGATTGGTTGGATAAGACTTGCTGTGGCCTGTGAATGGAAGAGACAGTAAGATGGACTATGGCTTCTTAAACTCTCATGCCCTGGTTCTTATTGGAATTCTTAATGACCAGAAGATATGCCTAATAGACTTTGGTCATATTATATACCATATTTAATTTGATGCCAAGTTTTAAAACCCTTTATTTTAGTTATGTTCACACTGACAGCAATTTGCAACAACTTAAAGTAATTCATCTCCAACGAGAGTTGAATTACTCCAACGATTTCTGTAGACATATGCTGAGAGCCAGCTCAGCTTTCATTCAAATGAGAAGCAATGCAGATTTAATCACTGTCAGTAATTAATGAATAAAGCCCTTTAAGTAGACTGTATTTCCTTCCCTTTCCCTTTTGTTGCATTAAATAAGTCATACATTACGATTTATAGTTTTTAATGTAAAGTAGTTGCTGCTAGCCTCCAATATGGCTGCTTGCCCTGGACTTTCCTCTGTATGTCCTCCTGCTACTAAACCGCACTGTTCCTTCCACCTTCCGTATCCCACAAATCCTCTGTCCAGTATGGCTGCTGCTTCTGTGTGGCTGCACTGTGCTTGTGCTTCTGTGTGCTGGTGTCACAGAGCTGCTGATTGATTTATCTAAGTGTAGTTTACACTCGTATATTGGCTTACTGTGTGAATGTCAGTAGAAAGGCCTGTTTTGTGCTCTTGGGATCATATTGAAGAATATGTTCCTTTCTAGGCGCAGGCAAAAGTATGAGCACCCCACAGGACTTGTTCCGAAGCTCAGGTAAAGTATTCCTGACGCAAGCATGACTTTCACATCGCTCCCTCACACCTCTGAGCCCAGTGTGAGAGAAATGCCTGGGTTCTGAGAGCTAGAGTATGAATCAAACACAAACTGTGTGGGTGAACAGCAGAGCTCGCAGAATTCATTTCTGAATGAGGATTAGTCTAGTTTAAGAAGGGTTATGTAACTGTGGGTCTGCAGGCATCAATATTTAATATGCTGCAATGTTTATTTTTATACTCTGTCCATCTAAGTTCTATAAATATCTCACTTGAGCCTCAAATGACCAGGAATATTACTTTTTAACATAGTACATTTGTTTTCTTAATATAGAAAGGATCAGTATCTGTAGTATAGCGATGTTTCTTTTCCTAAATGTTCTGATTGTATTCTATTAGTTTTGTGAAAATTTCATACATCACATATGTAGTTTAAGTCTGTATGAGATTTTTAGGGTGTTGTGCAAAAGAGATTTACACTACAGTTCAAAGGTTTGAATTAATACTTTTATTCAGCAAGGATACATTAACGTTTATAACATGTTATTAATGTTGCAAAATATTTTCATTAAAAAACCACAAAAATATTAAGCGGCACAGATATTTTCAACATTGATAATGATAAATGGAGCAGTAAATCAGCATATTAGAATGATTTCTGAAGGATCATGTGACACTAAAGACTGGAGTAATGATGATGAAAATTCAACTTTGTCATCACAGGAATAAATAAAATGTTAAAATATATTAAAATAAAAAAATATATTTTAAATTATAATATTTCACAAAAATGTTTTTATTTATTTATTTATTTGCCGTATAAGAAGCTTTTGAACAATAGTTTATTTAAACTTCTGTTGACCTGATTTAGTGAATTATACTGTTTTCATTGCTGTGGACATCAGTGTTATGTAATTTCGTCACTATATACTGCCGTGCATAATCTGAATGCAATAATTTATGACATGGCTTGTTACATTAGATATGAGATTTGAAATCCAACAGAAAGTAGATTATTTGAGCCTAAATGGTCAGATTGGATTTGAAGTCTCTTTTGTAGTCATTTGAGAAATGTATTGTGTTACTAGCTGTGTCTGAATTCACAAATTAGTGAACTAAGTGGCATTTGCTATGTAGTCACTTAAAACAAGTGAGTGAACCATTTCTTTCACAGTATATCTATCCATGTGTAAATACAGTAACCACAGTGAGATGCCATGATGGACAAAACCTCCCGTTTCTGTCCTCACTTTCCACTTTCCACTTTGGAAAGTCCTCAGCTGTTGCAGAGGAACGTTCACAAGTCGTTACTGTTGCAACCAGTATAGAAACAAGGAGATCCAATTTCAACAGTTCCAATTTGACAGTGCAAACAGTCAGTAATCAAGATCAGTAGACTTGAAAAACAGTTTGTAGTTGAGTGCAGTGTAAACAAAGCATAGTTTTTGCTGTCCTGATTGGTGTCTGATTATGTCCATATTGTCCACCCGCATACAGACATCCCTGACGGACACCGAAAGTTGGCCGTCAGCACACTGTCCCTGGCCAATGGCACGTCGCCAGCTCGGAGCCCCGTAAACGGTGTAGCCGGAGGTCAGCCGCTGTCCCAGAGAAAGAGGTTGCTCAAAGCGCCTACGCTGGCTGAGCTTGATAGCTCCGACTCGGATGTGAGTGGGTTTTATATCTTCTATATTGCAAAAACCCTGCCGAAATATTCAAAAAGACAAAATACGTATAATATGTGTGTGTGTGTGTGTGTGTGTGTGTGTGTGTGTGTGTGTGTTTATGTATATATAAATACACACACACACACGTGCATGTATATATTTAAGAAAAATGTTATATTTCTATATTAAATATATTTGTTTAATATAAATTATACAAATATAAATTATACATGTAAATATTTTCAAAATATACATAATATACATAATAAATATACACAGTTGAGTACACACATATATTATGTAAAGAAAAACTTCTATTTAGGATGCGATTATTCACGATTAATCATTTGACAGCACTAATTATATTATATTATATTATATTATATTATATCAGAAATATCAGTGAAGAGTGATGCCTCATTTTCTTTTTATTTCTTTTTTAAATTTATAATTGATCAATTCAATTAAAGATATCCTGTCTGCTTTAAAAAAGAATTTTTTTTTAAAGTTTTGTCTGAGCTTTGTCATTTTTTTTATAATTTTTTTTTAAATATATTTGCTTAGTGTTTGTTATATTTAGATAATGATATCTAAATCTGTCATATTATATTATTTTATTTTATTTTAGATTAGATCATATTATATTTGTATTTGAAATACCAATGGAGAGTGATGCCTCATTTTTTTATTTTTTTATTTAAAAAAATCTGGTTTCTTTTTTTAATACTATCTTAGACTTTTTGTCCCTTTAGAATATTTTTTACAGCATTTATTTAACATTTACTTATTTGTATAACATTTAGGGAGTATCAGTGACACTTTTTGGTTTTGTAAATGAAACTATACAGCAGTTATTTTCCAACAAATGCCAAAAAAAAAAGCCAATGTTGTTTTCTTTGGTCAGGCTCACGCACTAGGCAGCGGTCGTGCGGTACGTCCCATCAAACTACATATTACTGATACTAACACTGGGTGACAAGGGGCATAAAAGCCAATATGAGTCTCTTATTCTGTAGTTCACAAGACATCTGTCTTTTTAATAATAGTTAAGGTGCTTAAAGGTAAGAATTAGAGATAAGTATTGGCTTTTATGTGTGCTTGAATCAGTGTGACCTTTAAAGTTGGGTAAGGACTAGTCCTGGGGCGCCGTGCATTGTTTTAGCACAGAGCATGAACATTTCTACTCATCCTTATATGCAAATTTTGCCTGACCTATAGAGGTGAAACTTGCATAACAACATAAACAGACAGTTTACCATTCCTCATTAATGAATTAAATGTTCAGCTCTGTCTCCATTGCCATTGTGTTGTGGGTTTTGTTGTGTGTTTTGTTTGGCAGAAGGTGTAACCATTATTGTGATCTAGCATGTAATGGTTTTTCCATCCCTCATTCTCGGGTGTGACAGCATGGCATGTTTAAATATGCAGTGTATACTTGGCATGTTTGTGAAAGTGATATGTTGGTTTCAGGAGGAGTTCTGCTACCCCGTCGAGTGCCTGACTTTGACCGTAGAGGAGGTGATGCATATCAGACAGGTTCTTGTTAAAGCAGAGCTGGAGAAGTTCCAGCAGTATAAAGACGTCTATAATGCGCTAAAGAAAGGAAAGGTAAATTTACTCTTCACATTCATTGCACGCTCTACACTACATGTATATGTAGCACTATATACATTAGCCCAAGCTTATGTTTTGGGATTGTCTTCTTGTTTGGAGCACATGATGCTGTCTATTCAGGCAGCTCACTAGGTTTTGAACATGCTAGGTGTGTAAGCAAGTGTTTGATTGTGTACTCATTAATGAATTAAATGTTCAGCTCTGTCTCCATTGCCATTGTGTTGTGGGTTTTGTTGTGTGTTTTGTTTGGCAGAAGGTGTAACCATTATTGTGATCTAGCATGTAATGGTTTTTCCATCCCTCATTCTCGGGTGTGACAGCATGGCATGTTTAAATATGCAGTGTATACTTGGCATGTTTGTGAAAGTGATATGTTGGTTTCAGGAGGAGTTCTGCTACCCCGTCGAGTGCCTGACTTTGACCGTAGAGGAGGTGATGCATATCAGACAGGTTCTTGTTAAAGCAGAGCTGGAGAAGTTCCAGCAGTATAAAGACGTCTATAATGCGCTAAAGAAAGGAAAGGTAAATTTACTCTTCACATTCATTGCCCGCTCGTCGAGTGCCTGACTTTGACCGTAGAGGAGGTGATGCATATCAGACAGGTTCTTGTTAAAGCAGAGCTGGAGAAGTTCCAGCAGTATAAAGACGTCTATAATGCGCTAAAGAAAGGAAAGGTAAATTTACTCTTCACATTCATTGCACGCTCTACATGTATATATAGCACTATATACATTAGCCCAAGCTTATGTTTTGGGATTGTCTTCTTGTTTGGAGCACATGATGCTGTCTATTCAGGCAGCTCACTAGGTTTTGAACATGCTAGGTGTGTAAGCAAGTGTTTGATTGTGTAACCCTTCCTCTCAGCTTTGCTTCTCATGTCGGACGAAGAAGTTCTCGCTCTTCACCTGGTCCTACACATGCCAGTTCTGTAAGAGGTGGGTGGAGATTCTCATTTCAAACTGGAAATTAAGAAAGTAAAGTGATGTGCAGTGGAATCATATTTTTTCTTCTTTTCTTCTCACAGGCCTGTTTGTTCACAGTGCTGTAAGAAGGTAAATGTTACGTCCTTACCTTATGTTCACCAAGGCTGTATTTATTTGATCAAAAATACAGTAAAACAGTAAATATTATTACAATTTAAAATACATGTTTTGTATTTGAATCTGTTTTCAAATGTAATTTATTCCTGTGATGCAAAGCAGAATTTTCAGCATCATTTCTCCAGTATTCAGTCACATGATCCTTCAGAATTATATTGAAACATATTATCAATGTTGAAATTTTTTTTGATGAATAAAAACAGCTTTTATTTGAAATAGAAAGAAATCTTTTGTAACACTATAAACACTGACTTTTGATCAATTTAATGCATCCTTGCTTAATAAAAGTATTAATTTCTTATTGACCCCAGACTTTTGAACAATAGTGTGCTTTTTTTCACTTTGCTAATGACCTCATGCCCTCTCATCTCAGATGAAGTTGCCCTCCAAGCCCCATGCCAGCCTGCCCATCTCCTCTCTGGGCCCCAGCATCCTGCCCAAAAAGGAGTCTACAGCATCAGCCGCGACAGAGAAGCCCTCCTCCACATCCAGCCACAAGCGTCACAGCCTTCAGCGCACAATGTCCAGGTGGGCTTCACAAATGATGGAGAGAGTCTGTATCGTTTGTACCAGGATTCATAAGGGAGATGCAGAGGGTTTGAGAGCATTAAAACAAGCATTAACATTAAAATAAAAAAATGGGACTGTTTGTGAGAATGTAGTGTCATTTTCACATTCACATAATTTCCAATATTTTGGTGGACCACAGTCTACAACATTTCACCAGAATTGCGCCAGAATAAAAGCTTGAATTTGAAATGTTAAAAGCTCAATTGTTTGAGCCAGTGTTATTTTACTATCATTGAGATACTATACAGCATTTTATCATTTGAATCCGTTTTTATTTTTGTATTTTCTGTTTTCATTTTAATTTGAGTAATTTTGTGTGTTTGTCATTTTTATTAGTTTTTAAAAATATGTCTGATTTCTTTATTTCCATTTTAGTTGTAGCTATTTTAGTACATTAGAATAAACGGGGAAAAAAAGCGCAAGATTGCTTTGGCAACTATTTAAATAACATTATATTACAATATTTATTATAAAACATTTAGTTTCAGTTAAGTTTATTTTAAAATAATAAAAATGTTTTTTATCATGCTTTTAGTTTTAGTTAACTATGATAACCCTGGTGTGAATGTTTGAAAGCGAAAACTTTAAGACATACATTATATGTCTTATTATTGTATTATAACTTGTAGTGTAAAATAAAATTTTTATTACATTTTCTTTATTTTTCTTTACGTCTTATTTTTTTATAATTAGAGGTAAAACATTATTAGTATTATTATATTACATTATATTATATATTAAATCTAATTGGGTACCTAAAACACAAGAATATAATGTAGACCGAAACACAACTAAAAAGAGGATTGAGGTCACTTTAAAGTTCAGATACAAAGTTAAATGTTTATCATATCACAGTTGATATATGACAAAATAATCATCAAGTCATGCAGCCCTTTATATAAATAAAACTCAAATAAACAAACAAACCTCATTAATGAATTAAATGTTCAGCTCTGTCTCCATTGCCATTGTGTTGTGGGTTTTGTTGTGTGTTTTGTTTGGCAGAAGGTGTAACCATTATTGTGATCTAGCATGTAATGGTTTTTCCATCCCTCATTCTCGGGTGTGACAGCATGGCATGTTTAAATATGCAGTGTATACTTGGCATGTTTGTGAAAGTGATATGTTGGTTTCAGGAGGAGTTCTGCTACCCCGTCGAGTGCCTGACTTTGACCGTAGAGGAGGTGATGCATATCAGACAGGTTCTTGTTAAAGCAGAGCTGGAGAAGTTCCAGCAGTATAAAGACGTCTATAATGCGCTAAAGAAAGGAAAGGTAAATTTACTCTTCACATTCATTGCACGCTCTACATGTATATATAGCACTATATACATTAGCCCAAGCTTATGTTTTGGGATTGTCTTCTTGTTTGGAGCACATGATGCTGTCTATTCAGGCAGCTCACTAGGTTTTGAACATGCTAGGTGTGTAAGCAAGTGTTTGATTGTGTAACCCTTCCTCTCAGCTTTGCTTCTCATGTCGGACGAAGAAGTTCTCGCTCTTCACCTGGTCCTACACATGCCAGTTCTGTAAGAGGTGGGTGGAGATTCTCATTTCAAACTGGAAATTAAGAAAGTAAAGTGATGTGCAGTGGAATCATATTTTTTCTTCTTTTCTTCTCACAGGCCTGTTTGTTCACAGTGCTGTAAGAAGGTAAATGTTACGTCCTTACCTTATGTTCACCAAGGCTGTATTTATTTGATCAAAAATACAGTAAAACAGTAAATATTATTACAATTTAAAATACATGTTTTGTATTTGAATCTGTTTTCAAATGTAATTTATTCCTGTGATGCAAAGCAGAATTTTCAGCATCATTTCTCCAGTATTCAGTCACATGATCCTTCAGAATTATATTGAAACATATTATCAATGTTGAAATTTTTTTTGATGAATAAAAACAGCTTTTATTTGAAATAGAAAGAAATCTTTTGTAACACTATAAACACTGACTTTTGATCAATTTAATGCATCCTTGCTTAATAAAAGTATTAATTTCTTATTGACCCCAGACTTTTGAACAATAGTGTGCTTTTTTTCACTTTGCTAATGACCTCATGCCCTCTCATCTCAGATGAAGTTGCCCTCCAAGCCCCATGCCAGCCTGCCCATCTCCTCTCTGGGCCCCAGCATCCTGCCCAAAAAGGAGTCTACAGCATCAGCCGCGACAGAGAAGCCCTCCTCCACATCCAGCCACAAGCGTCACAGCCTTCAGCGCACAATGTCCAGGTGAGCTTCACAAATGATGGAGAGAGTCTGTATCGTTTGTACCAGGATTCATAAGGGAGATGCAGAGGGTTTGAGAGCATTAAAACAAGCATTAACATTAAAATAAACAAATGGGACTGTTTGTGAGAATGTAGTGTCATTTTCACATTCACATAATTTCCAATATTTTGGTGGACCACAGTCTACAACATTTCACCAGAATTGCGCCAGAATAAAAGCTTGAATTTGAAATGTTAAAAGCTCAATTGTTTGAGCCAGTGTTATTTTACTATCATTGAGATACTATACAGCATTTTATCATTTGAATCCGTTTTTATTTTTGTATTTTCTGTTTTCATTTTAATTTGAGTAATTTTGTGTGTTTGTCATTTTTATTAGTTTTTAAAAATATGTCTGATTTCTTTATTTCCATTTTAGTTGTAGCTATTTTAGTACATTAGAATAAACGGGGAAAAAAAGCGCAAGATTGCTTTGGCAACTATTTAAATAACATTATATTACAATATTTATTATAAAACATTTAGTTTCAGTTAAGTTTATTTTAAAATAATAAAAATGTTTTTTATCATGCTTTTAGTTTTAGTTAACTATGATAACCCTGGTGTGAATGTTTGAAAGCGAAAACTTTAAGACATACATTATATGTCTTATTATTGTATTATAACTTGTAGTGTAAAATAAAATTTTTATTACATTTTCTTTATTTTTCTTTACGTCTTATTTTTTTATAATTAGAGGTAAAACATTATTAGTATTATTATATTACATTATATTATATATTAAATCTAATTGGGTACCTAAAACACAAGAATATAATGTAGACCGAAACACAACTAAAAAGAGGATTGAGGTCACTTTAAAGTTCAGATACAAAGTTAAATGTTTATCATATCACAGTTGATATATGACAAAATAATCATCAAGTCATGCAGCCCTTTATATAAATAAAACTCAAATAAACAAACAAACAAAACCCTTGCTAAAAAAGTTTTACTTGCATTACTTGTTTTTACTTGCATCAGAGAACCGTAAACATGTAATTGTGTCATTTAAATGATTGAAATATTTAATACTTCAAATCAAATTGGGTTCTAAAGGGTTCAGCTGACAAAACTGTGAACTCTTGATCTGTAGTGTGGTAATGGCTGCCAGGAAGATCATTTCTTGTGACGATTCCTCTCTTAGATCATCAAAGCACGCTGAGCGCTCGTCCTCCAAAGACGAGCTGGAGCTGCCGGAGCAGTTCACAGCGGACTGGAGCAGCATGGAGGTCTGCGTGGACTGCAAGAAGTTCATCAATGACATAATCAGCAACAGCAGGCGCAACCTGACCACCAAACGTGCCCGGCTGCACCGCAGGACCCACTCCGTCTACTTGTCCAACACCAGCTCTTCCAACTACAAACCCTCAGAACGGACTATCAAAGAGGTTTAGGATGTTACATACTGTATGAAAAATACGCCCACTTTTGTTAGCTTTGTATAACGTTCCTTCAATACCACTTCTTTTCCATTTAAAAAGTGCCAGAGGTGAAGGAGTAAAGCCGTCCCTCTTCCAGCATGAGTCCTTAAGCACCAGCCTTCTCAGGAAAAGGTTTCTTCTGTGATTAAAGCTTTGGAATGTAGTTTAACACACTTTAAATTGACTTCGACCAGCTTTTCTCAAATGAACACACAGAATGAAATGACAGTGTGAAAAAAGATATCGCAAGGCTGCTTTGATCACTGAAAGACACAAGGCCTGAATGTACATTTTTCAATGGAGCTCAATTGTATGTGAATAGTTGCTGAATGCTCAGCCTAAATGTAAATAGGCATCCAAACTGACTTATTTTCCCCTTTTAGGAAGTACTAGTCGATTGCTGAAAGACCAAGAGACTGTAGATTTATTCAGCCTCCGCAACAATTCAAGATCAAGTCTTACCAAATGTTTTTCTTATTGTTTGTTAAAATTACTGCTGTGATTGTGACGTGGTCCAAACGAATGCCGCTTTAGATAATTACAGAAAGTACTTACAGATTAATATATTTTTCCTGTCTGATGGCAGTGTTTTTGAGATTTTAGTCAAAGATGAGGGACAAGAAGTGTTTTTTAAGAGCGGATGCTGAAAGCTGTAGTGTTTCTTAAAGGAGTGATCGGCTGTGCCAAACAAATCTCCACTATCTGAGCAATATGTGTCTTTGACCTGATGTACATAGTCAATAACATTTACCGGAGATGGTGACGGCCCAAAGGGGGAAGCCAGTTCTCTCTTTTATATAGGAAGTGACTTTTGTAGGATATGTTTATGTACATGCTGTATATCCGAATCTCATCTGATCCACTTATCTATTAAAATAGGCTCTATTGTTCTAAAGTTCTGATTTATATTATTAATAATGATTATTTTATTTTTCAGTGTCAAATGTTGCTTTCTTTTCATGTTCACTCAACAACTACAAATATTTTGTTATTTTTCAGCTGCACATTTATTTTGACGTCTTAAAACTTTGTAAATTAATTTATAAGATATTATTAATTACTGTTCTGTGCAATGAAACACCCCAGGAGACTTTAAATATGAAGGTACTGAAGTCATGTCAGGGTTTTTGGAAGGATTGTTTTTGTTTGTCCTTAAATTAAAAGAAAATACACACACAATTGGTATATGGTATACAGGCCTGTTCTTTTGTTTTGTGCAAAACTGACTGTACTGCCTTCCTCTGAGGAATGATTGGTGTGCATGATGAAATCTATGATTTAAAAAAAAGAAAAAAGAACTGAATTGCCAATAAATAAAGCATCAAATTTGAATATTTGAAATTGAATTTGATTTTATTACACATGCCTCATCAGAATTGCATTGATATGCCAATGAAGAATTTTGTGCTTACATTTATCTCATATGATGAAGGTAACATTACTAGGATGTATTAAAACATTTAAATTAGATACCCCAATGGAGCCATAAAAAAGGTCTATCATCTGAGGATGTTAATGAAACCGGCAATTTAACATTATTAGCAAATTATATGATGTGTTTAAGCTTCAAAATAATGCAAACTTATCTACATATTCATGCCTTAACATGTAGCCTTTAATAACAGCCACATAATGTTTTTGTGACAAACTTCTGAAGGAATAGACCAGGTTATATATATTACAGTGCGTTTAATGGAGTGTACTGTTATTTAACAACAGATAGATTATTCAGATGACAAAAGTTTTTAGTTGTGAGCTTTGAAAATTACATAATCTAGTACTTTGATATAGTGTCATTGTAAAGACTGTAGTCTATCCCTCATAATCTTGTTTTTACCCACGTTAAATTCAATATGGCGTCTAACCTGAGGCCTGTTGTACGGTTTCTAGGGTCTTTGGACGTCTTGGTTTGAAAAAAACTAAACTAAAGATTTTTTGCTTATGATTTTGACATTTGACTGTCTAAATTACGGTGGCCGAGAAGTGCAGAACAAATCACAATTCTGAAAACAAAAGAACAAATTACAAACGCAAATGCAAGTCTAAAAAACAAAATAACAATTCAGAAAACACAACAACAATTCAGAAAACATTATAACAAGTCAGAGCAATGGATTCTATTTACACTAAGTGAAAATAGCAGTATTTTTAGCAATATGCTATTTACACTAAGTGCAAGTACCTATTTACACTGTTAAAATAGCAGGATTTCTACTATCAAGTATACTACTTGTTGCAAATAGTGGCAATTATCTGCACTTTAGTATTGTAGTACATTATAAAGCTGTATGCAATAATAACGTATTGAGTGTAAATTATAATTTAAATTATTAAATGGATGCCACCTTATTGGTACAATAAAGCCCTCCCTACACCTACCCTAACCCTACCCGATACTTTATTTTCAACTTTTTGATTATTTCCTTAATTTTTATTGAAAATAAATGCCTTTACGATGTGATATGAGATTTGAAAAGGGAGGAAATAAAAGCTTGGCAAAAGGCGGGATCGAACCCCGGTCGATCACGTCAAAAAGTCAAGGGCAAGCGCTTATCCATCTGCGCCAGTGGAGCTGATGTTTTATAGTCACTTTTAACTAAATGTAAATAGACACCCCGTATTTTTCATTCCATAGTAAGGGCAATTCATACAATACATTTAAACTGAGCTACTTTAATACCATCTCTGAACTTTCTACCAGGACTCTGCTGTTCTTCGACTGGCTCTTCTCTGTATACGTTGATTGACAGATGTCTCGTCCAGTCAGCGGTGAGTAATCCCAAACCAATGGCGCTGTCTCAAACTATACCTACCTCTTCCGGTTTGTCGGATTTGACGTTGTTTTCTGACTTGTTATAATGTTTTCTGAATTGTTGTTGTGCTTTCTGAATTGTTATTTTGTTTTTTAGACTTGCATTTGCGTTTGTAATCTGTTATTTTGTTTTCAGAATTGTGATTTGTTCTGCACTTCTCGGTCACCGTACTAAATAGAGGCGAATGCTTGTCCCAAACTAGTGGGAAAGAGACAGAACTGCAATTCTCCACTAGAGGGCAGAAAAACATCACTTTCAACAGCTGACTAAAACTTCTGGCAAATTCTACATTTCGGTTATACGGTTATATATCATTTACATTTATTCATTTAGCAGACGCTTTTATCCAATGCGACTTACAATTGGGAATACATCAAGCGATTCATCTTAAAGAGGCAAATAGACGCAGGAAGTGCTCGTGATGCCAAGTTTCAAGCATTGTTTAAATAAGTACAAGCTAGACAGGGAAAGATTAAAGAAAGGAGAAAACAAAGTTTTTTTTTTTTTTAGGATGAAGTAAAATAGTGACGAAAGAGATGAATTTTCAGCTGTCGCTTGAAAACGGTCAGGGAATCAGCACTCCGGATAGGGTTTGGAAGATCATTCCAGCAGCCAGCCAGCCATGTATCATACATAATCGCACTGTAATGTTACTAAAAATCGTGTTAGTAATTAAAAATCTCTCTTTCCTTCTAAAAAAATAAAATAATTTTGAACTAAATAAATAATTATTAGTATAGTCCATGTTTTTTCTGCACATGTTGTGTGTGATAAACACAACTGTAGAGGGCAACAAACCACTTTCTAAATGTGACAAACTGCTTCATTGTGCACTTTGACCCTGCTTGTGGCTCCTTTTCCATTACATGAGCAGAACATGGTGGTTATTGTAAAATGTTTGTGAAAAATATAGTAAAAATATTAGTTTATTTATAAAATACAGATTTTTATGAGCTGTTTTCGTTCATTTCAGATATGCATAGCAATACCCATGACATTCAGATCAGAAATACAATTGCACAACAACGTAATATGTCCAGAATACAGTGCATAATTACTTAAAGTCTCAATATTTAACTTTTGATTTTTCTACTTCAATTTAAAAAACACCACTTATCAATACAGTTCTGAAGACTTTTTTCAAAAGGCCTAATTACATAGATCATGCCGACTTATTTGTAAACAAACACATTCCCGCTGAGGTTCAGCTGAAATGGTTCAGCTTAATGGGCTTGAGTCTATGAGAGTGGACTGTATACTGAGATGATAGTGGCAAAACAAGCCTGTCCTGCAGTCTGATTGGTGGTTCCCATGACAACAGTTGTCAAGGGCTATCTAGGCTTGAGGGGTGTTAGATACTTTCTATCTAAAAGCTTGGGGCTAAAGTTAGTGGTGAGTTTTAGCTCCAGACCAGCTGTGCTTCCGATTATGCTGCCTCTCCCGCGGTCAGGCCCCTTTGTTATGCTCAGTATGTAGGCTAGTTGTTTACTTCTTGTTGCGTCCTGAAATGACAAAGTGCAGTGAAAACTAAGCTGAATCGATCCGTTTTAGAAATGAATAGCTTAGAAACCCTTCAATATTTCTTTCATTCAGTCGTGCAATTCAATAGAAAAACAGAGATGTCTTATATACCTCATTTTTGGTTTAATCATCAAAGGTAAGGTCACCAGGTACAAAGTAAACCGTTTCCAAGCAGCATTAAATACTAGGAGGCAATGGACATCTTGACTGAATGTATCTTAAGTGATGTCAAGGCTCTTCAAGCCCATATTTTTTATTTGATAATGGAGTTTGTGGACAAGAAAACCTCTTCAAACCGTAAGCAAGTGCACTTTGAGATCAACATAATGCAGCAAACACAAATCATTGCTAACAAGCACTTCCTGTTCTTTCAGAAATCATGATTTCATTTTTATCATCAAAGCTGTTTTTGCTACAAGGGGGAAATAAGAAATAAAATACATGGCCAAAAGTATGTGGACACCACAATTCATTCATTTGCCTGTGTGTGTTTGCGTACACTGTGTTCCGGTTTATAATGTTTTTTATGATCTCTATTCAGTTTTCTTAAAATATTAATTGTCTTTATGCCTTTTGCAAGACATTCATGCTTTTCATCTTCAGAAATATCTTTCTTGCATGAGAACTGTAACTTATAGGGTTTTCCATTTAGCCTAAGAAGAACTGACAAGCTATTTAACAAACCTGTCTGAGATTGATACCAGTTATCTAAAAGAAAAGTGAAATAAAACTTTCTTTGAAAAACTAAAATCTGTTTATTATTAATAATAATAATAATGTTTATTTGACTGAAATCCTACTGATATGTAACTTACATAATATGAAACGCAGTGTATGCATGTGTATGTATCTATTAGTTGTTATTATAATTATATATAGCCTAGTCACCTAGTTTATTTTGTCCATTGACCAAGTTTTATTACAGATATATATAGCCTACCTTTTTGTCATCAGACAAAAAATAAATAAAATAATATAAAATAAATCAAGCAATATATTTTGGTCATGGAAAAGGCTCAGAAGGCAATTGTGGACTAGCAGCTTCAGGTAAAAAATTTCACATTTAATTATAGTTTAATTCAGTATTAAGTTTGAATCAGTTTGTGAAAATGACATAGATCTGGAACACAGACATAACCCTGTTAGTGTGCGGATTAATTGTGGATTAATTTGTACATTAAAGACTGTAATGTTGTATTTCTCCCATAATTAACTCAGTAATTCGTTTTTAAAATATACAGTAGTCAACAAAGTTGTCCTAAGACAAGAACCACTGATCTATAATGACTTCTAAAGAATGTTCTCTATTATAGATCAGTGATAAGAACACATTTTGGTTTTAGGTTTTAGGACAACTTTGATTAAAGGTTTTGATCCTCTTCAAATGTTGACTGGTGTATTTTTTAAATTATTTTTTAATAAATGATAACAATTCATAACTATACTTTGTGTTATATGGCCCTCATGACAAAAACTAAGCACTGCTGCAAGGGGCTTTCTAAAGTTGTAAAGTTAATTGTTGAAACATGGTAGTTTATTGGTCCTCAAGCAGGACCTAGAGAACCTATAGGCCTGTGCTTTTGAACCCTGGTCCTGGTTGTGGCTTAAAGGGATATAGCTGCAGCTGGAAAGTAAGAATAAAATTAATTTGCTACCTATTAGATTGTGTTTCATTAACTTCTACACCTACCCCAAACCTAAACCTACCCCTTACAATAATACAAATACAGTAATTATTGTTGTTCAGGTGTGACAAAAATTACACAATATTAATGTGCGCATGCCCAGTAGCTGCAGCTGTATCCCATCTAGCCTTAACCCCTGGTCCTTGGGAGCCACCACTCTGTCTCACTTATTAAACACACCTGATTCAGATCACCAGCTCATTAGGCGAAAGCTCCATGAATTCAGCTGAGTGTGTCAAATAAGGGAGACATGCCACTGACCCAGGCAAACCTCCAGAGGGCCAACAGTAAGTCTTAAACTTATTTATATGTAATTACGGTAACTTGCTAAAATGCTAATAGTTGCTGTCCCTAAAATAAGATGGGACCTTCGCGTCAAAAAGTTTGACTTGACCACTGCTGTTGATTTTTTTTTTTTATTATTATCATTTTGCTGATGGAGCAATTGGAAATCCAAAAGCATATTTGATTTGAATATAATCACCCTTGTACATCTATAAAAGTTTACCCCAGTTAATTTCCATGTTCCAAACCCCGAAATGGGTTCATTGTAATGCTGGAACAGAAAAGGGCCCCATACTGAAAATGTTCATCTCAGCAGATTGCATGGCTGTATGCTTGATTTTATGCATCTGTTAGATATGTGTGTGTGTAGCAGAAATAGTAAACCATGTTAATTAGAATCAGGTGTCCACATACTTTTAGCATGCATGGTACATCAAGCATTTCATGATCCATTAGGTTCGTTTTTGGCCTTCGTTAATTACATAAAACTGACCACACACCACAGCTCTCAGGGAATGTGCTCTTCACTTCACCGATTACTTCAACAAACAGTCATGTCCTTATGCTTGTAGATTTTACACTGGCTAAAAAGATTGTCATATACAATTATTGTCATATTCCAATTAAATTCATGCTAACAAGGCACTATTGACTAAAATTGGGCTGCTCTAGCCATTCTGAGAGAAGGAGATTATGATGAGAAACATCTGTCTGAAGATTTTCGGGTCACAGTTCTTCAGGGACAGCTGTACATTGCATAAGTCTGCCGTTTTGCTCTGAGGTCCTGGGCTCACTCCCTGAGGTCCACTGTGACACTTGCGATTGCCAGCTCAAATCTCTTTTGATTTAAGACGGCACAGATGCTGGCGAGCACCAGCAGCATACCATCAAAGCCACAGCTGAGATGTACTCAACCCACAAACGAATGCAATCTTCCTCAGATGGTTTCCAGTCTCAGCTGTGGCCCCATATTTCTAATTTCCCTTAATGAGCAGGGGAGCGAACGGGACGCCCAAGCAGAGATGTTGTGTTCTCTGAGCAGTCATGGTGGGTTGGGGCGGTTGGAGACACAAATCAGCGACAGTGAACCGTGATCAAACAGTTTGTACGGTAACGATCCTTTAGAAGTCCACACGTCTGTTTTAGGGTCGTAGCACTCAAAGCAGTCTGAGTCTTCGATGACATCATGACTGTTGAGGAAACGTCCTCCGGTCACATAGAGTTTGTTATTGATGACTGTGGCCGCATGGTGCATCCTTCTCTCCTTCATGTTGGTGCACTTCACAAATTTATTAGCTTTGGTGTCATAGGCAATCACTCTTCTTGTGTATCCTGAAAATAAACAGCAGTTTAATTAATGTATCAACTCATCAAATGATGCATAATGTTTCATGGTTGGATTATTGTGTGATCCTAGCAAGGGACAAGATTTTCCCCTTGACCGTAGATGTTATTAAATGTCATCTAAACATTAAACATCATCATTATTTATCATAATATATGCCAAGTGAGTGGAACCATTCAATCTGAAATCTTTCCCTGCGTTCCATTCGGAAGGGTTCACCCCTACCCCCAAATCCCTTCAAAGGGTTTACCCTCTGGAGTGAGAGCTTCGAAGGGTGTAGGGGACCAAACAACTGTTTCTTGAAGTGCCCACACGGAGGAGCCCATCACGTGCCCACATGGAGGAGCTGTCATCATGCAAAGGATCACGGGAGCCCGAAGTGTCCATCAGTTGTATCCTTCGAAATCCTTCATTCCGAAGGGCCCTTTGAAGTGGCCAGTTTTGAGAACTTCGGTTTGGAACGACCCTTCAATATGTGGGCCACGATTGTTTTCACTCCGAAGTGCCCTTTGGAGGGCGATGTATCCCGCTTGGAACGCACCGATAGTCTATTCAACTGACCCTTCACAGTGAGCTTGATTGACAGGCCATCTGACCATTCATAATGCTGAATCCGCCATTTTTGTCCAATAAACAAATCAGATAGGAGAGTAGATTAACTTCGGTGGACTTAAACTTGAAAAATGGTGTGTATTGACGTCTTTTCACAGTTAAAATACCTTCAGATGTTCATTCACGTTTATTTCGTGCTTTAAGTAAATCTGAAAAGATGATTGGTTCACATGCCGCTTGAACTGCACATTAAAGAACCACAAAATTGTATTTATTGATTTAATTTCTTACAAAATGGCAAAATTTAAAAGCTAAGACTGTTTCATACCAAAAGTAACCTGCTCTGTCTTGTTTGTCGGCGCATTTTCAATTTTCTCTTTGCTCCGCAATGTATTTTTTACTGTGTGAGAACATGATGTGTAGTGTGAGAGCGGCATGACTTGTCAGACGTATCAACAGTAACTAAGGTCTTTGCGAAGGGTCAATTAACTAACTAAATTAAATAAGTGGTTCTCAACCAGGAATCCAGCACCAACTAGGGGGCATGACCAAACTTCCAGGGCATCCTCAAGATGACTTAAAATGATTTACAAAAAAAAATAAAAAATCCAAACCAACTAAAATTTAAGGTATTTCTTATTTTATAATTCACCTACTCAAAAACTGCTTTTTTCTTTTGAAGAGCCATGGTCCTATAGTTTTAAATATCAGATTTTCCATATTCTTTCATACAGTTTAACCTACCTCCAACAATATAAATCTTGTCTTCTATCACAGCAGCAGGTGCGCAGACGTTCTTCACTGTCCTGGTTTCCAGTCTAGACCACAAGTTGCGGGAGATGTGATAAACCTTGGGGAGACAAAAGGCATTTGTCATGTGGGATCGCATCTTGAGCGAAGCACAGATTATATTCTTTGAACGACTTTTGATACCTGTATTTGTCTCACTGGATTCTGCAAGGCATCCTCGCCTCCAAACACGTAAATCCTCTGATCGTTGGCTGCGACTGCAGGGTGTAGGACTGCTGTGGGCATCGGCGCCATGGCCTCCCATTGATTGAACATGCTGTTGTAGCGCTCCACCATATTTGAGATCTGCTTATCCGGCCCTATTCCACCAAGAGCGAAGATGAAGTGAAGGTAGGAGACGCACTGATGGGCGTAACGTGGTTCCAGCATGGGCTCGGCGGTCCTCCACTGGTTGGTCTTCAATGAGAGAGTATAAACTGTGGCGCTAACTGCACTGTCTCCAGATACCAGACTAAGACTGAGGCCACCAACCACGTACAGAATGCTGTGAATACACACATACGCCGCCTTGTAGAGTCGCAGAGGTAGTTTGGCGAGCCACTGCCACCGTTGTGTCCGTTCATCGTAGAGAAGCGCCTCTCGAGACGTCTGTTCATTGTTCTTGCGGCCTCCAACCACCACCAGAGTCTCCCGGCACGTGTAACGACGCGGTGTGGTCCAAAGTGGCTTCAGCTCTTGAGTGCATTTGGCACTTACGGAAAACATCAGACGTCGTACAGACTCGATGATCTCGGTGCACAGCGTAGACGACTGGACGAGCGGATCATTGGCGATAAACTGGAAGAGGTATGTCGGATGGATGTACCGCAAACGGACCTTCTTAAAAAGGTCATGAATAGCTCCTCGCCGGGAAAAGGGGTCATGGTGGATCCAAGCAAGTAATGTCTCAAAAACCTGCTCTTCCTCCGCGCACAGTCGGTCGTCCTCCAGGTAGCACATTAGCTCAGGAAGAGAGAGTTCACAGAAGTCCTCAGAAGCAGCTACATCCGAGAAACACCGCACAGCCATTTCTTTGGCTCTCTCCTTGAGGCTTTCGCAGTGAAGGATCTCTGAGAGCCGGATCATGCTCAGGCAGTTTTCCGGATTGAGCTGTTCCTGTAGGAAGGTGGAGCAGGCCTCGAAGAGCCTCCCGTAATGCAGCATGGAGGCCGCCTGCATCAGGGGCAGCACCAGCTCCATGGTGATGGTGATGGTACCAGTATAGATGTAATCCACAACACATTCGATGACCTCCGATGCGATGCCTTTCAGGTCCACTCTAGCCTGGCTGCTCTCCCGGAAGTTGCTGCAGAACATGGCTCGGAAGTATGGGCTACTGGAAACCAAGACGTTCCTGTGGCATGGGATCTCCTTGTCTTCGGTGCACAAGATCACATCGGTGAAGATCTGCTCCTGTCTCAGTATGTTCAACTGAAACAGGAGGTGTGCGGGGAGCTCTTGGTCCTTGAATGGAAAGATCTCTGTTGATGTACTAGCCATGCTGCAAAGGGAAAGGATTGAGAGTTTACTGGCAAATTACTGCTCAGTCACGGTGAATAGGTGAAGTTATGGTTTGCTGTTGTCATGGCCACCGCACAACCTTTCCTCCCTTTCTCCCTCTCTCTATTTTATCACCCCTGATGTTTAGTGCCAGGCCACGACGTTCTATTCCAGTGTCCCTTAAATCATTTTAATGCTTCCATGTGCAGAGCGCGGCTACATTTCCCTATCAAAGCTAAGTTTATCAACGCCGTTGTATCACTTGCCAGCTGTTTCTGATCCCCTCGGTAGGTTTGCCCTTGACAGCCTAACCATTTAGACGAGGACATTTCATGAGGCTATTATCAACACTAAGTCGTCTAATCACCCCAGAGACAGCTACTTATTTTATTTCACTCCAGATCACATGGGCCTGTCTGACATCTATTTTGGGATGCTAATTGTTTTTTTTTCTTATTATTAAACACCATTCTGAGACACCACAACAAGGCTGAAAGTATTCCCCAAAGATAAAAGATACCATATCATATTTCAGTGGCACTTATTTAAAATAGACAGCAAACTCTAAGTCGCCAGTGCAGTTGTGAAAATGACCGTAACAACAACTGCCATAAGAAACTCTCAATAAATAAGGATTTCACTATCCTGACTGTAATTTTGCTAGATCATAACATGTAACTGCTTATTAGTATTATTAAAAACTTGCATTGCATTAGCAGGACAATTCAGAAGAGGTAAACTACTTTTTAAAAGTAAATGCTCTGTCAGAATTCACAATCTGTACAATAAAGCATTTCCTCAATTAAATCCTGTTTCATATATTTTTAAAGTAGCTCTTGAACTCACCTGTTTGTTCTTTACACTCAAGTTGATGACGAATCAGGCACAGTTCAGCAGGATAAAAGCAAATACATTTCTCCCAGATTTCTCTCTCAAAGATGACAGTCAAAAGTGACATGGAGAAAGACACAAGGTCTCAAGTTTGGAGTCTGCCATGAGGTCGCTGTGTACATTCCAGTTACCGAGAATAGTCTGGAGGGCTGCTGTTGTCCAGGGCTCACATGTGACCCTCCCCTTGTTTGCTCCCACAGTGGTAGGCCATGCACCATGCATTTTGTGTGTTTTCTATGACAGTGACAGAGAACCCGGCTTATCCGGAGGACAGAGGAAGGGGTTGAGGGCTTGTGCACACCCCTTGGCAGGCTTGTGTAACCCAGGAAGCTGGTAAATATAGTGCAGTGCTGATGGCTAGGATGAGTACGGTGAACAGCTGAACAGTTAGGCCCGGTTACCTTGGTTTGCATCTTGCTTGAGAAAATAAGTAAAAAAACAAAACGGGCTGCTATTTACCTGCCACCTGTTAAGTTGCATTCACCTTTCAGAATTTAAATATTTTGTTCTTCAAATCAAGGTCTAAGTTAAGTCATGGTTCAATATATCTATCAATTTATCTAGTTTCACAGGCTTTATGTTACATAGAGACCTCACATATCTTTTTATATATTTCCGTCAGTGTCCTATAATGATAGATTAGCAATGAATTGCTGTTATGTAAGTATACTAATGCATGTAATCAACATAAAAGAAAATGAAAAGGGTGGCCAAAGCATGCAAATGAAAAAAAAAAATTCATATCAGATGAACTGAACCTTAGATACTGGTACATATACTCCTTCCAGCCCTATAATCAGCTGCATGCTGGCCTGGGAGAAGATGAATTACTGTCATGTTTAGATTGCTGGAAAGAAAAACAAACATGCATCTAGGCAGATTATATGACAGCCCCAGAATGCCATGGAGTCTGGAATGTCAGCAAGGGAGCATCATCTTTAGTAATGTCACCTGTTCCCTTTGATGTACACTGCTGTGTTTGCTTTGCCTACTGCACTGCTTTCCTACCTAGTGACTTGTAGGTGTGGTTATGCATTTATCTTAACAAAAACAGAAGATATTTGTATCAAAATCTTGATAGTGATGGTTTTATAATAAGGTGTGGGCAAAGATTTAGCATATGAGTTTCAATTTAAGCTATCACGGTTTATTTTGGTTACACTCTCACAACATTTGAATGCAATGCGTTTTAATGTTTGGTCTCTGCAGCTATGCCTGATTCATGAATGAATCGTTCATTTGAGTCGGATGTTTTTCATGATTCAGTTGAACCCACTGAAAAAGATGGGACTAAATGTAAACTTATATTTAGGTTCTGATACACTATGTGTCGAATCCTTTGTTTTTAAATGATTATTATTATTATTAATTGTATACGCTGAACAATTAACATTCAAAAGTATAACAAAAGGTTACAAACATGGTGTTCACGTTTTCTGGAAAAAAGAAAAAAAAAAAAAGAAAAGGGAAAGAAAAATTAATAAATAATAAGGAGGGTATACATCAATAATCACAATAGAAAAGAGGAGGAGAGTTCTTTGAGCGTGTCCATAGTTCTGGTTGCTTTCCGATTTGACAGACCTTGAAGAGTTTCAAAATAAATCCTCAAATCAACTTTGAAGTGGGAAATACTGGGCTTCCTTTCTGACCATTTACATTTGTGTATGTAAAACTTACCTAATTTGAGAAGATTTAGCATAAAAATGTGACTCTTATCCATATCTTTTTTTTATCAAAATAAAATATAACATCTCTTTTACTTATATTAATTTTAGATCCACTCAACATAGTAAATACACATTCAACATCAATCCAGAAAAATTGAACATACATACATTAAAAAAAAGATGCAAAACAGTCTCTACATGCATTCCACAAAAAACACAGAATTCAGAGAGATCAGCTCTGTATCTCTTGAGAAACTGGTTAGTTGGATAAATTATATGTATAATTTTAAAGTAAACTTCACTAACTTTATTTGTGACACAGAATTTGTTATTATAAGTCCAAATCAATTTCCAGTTGATATTCTCAAAATGGTTATTCCAGAAGTACTTGCATCGAAATGTTGCAGGGCAGTGAATCAAACATCTAAAAAAAAGTATTACATTTTCTATCTTTGATATCAATACCATTTAATAAGATCTCTTTTTGTAAATGTCGATTGCTTAGATTCACTAAATCCCTTTAAAAGCCTCACAAGTCCTGCTGGTATTGCATCAATTACAAAACTATATTCACGCCCAGGTATTGGAATACCACATTTCTCTAAAAATTCAGTATACGTAAGTAATGTAATATCCTTCATTATTTACCAACTGTAAGACCATTAGAATACATTTTTAACCCAATTAGTATAGAAAATGTATTTGTTCTTATATTTAACATATATGTATTTTTTTATTTTTTTTTTATTGATTTCCAACATATAATATAAAGGTACTGAACAAATATAAACTACAAAAAAAGAAATAGAACATATACAGTATTATATAAATAATAATACAGGTAAAAAAAAATATAAAAATAATTAAAACATTTAAAAAAAAAAACACATAAAAAAAGAACAGGTATGAGATCCTCATATAAATCACACTATACAATATTCTTTAGGGATTATTGGAATATTATACCTTGAAGAAATTCTATGTAGGTATACAGGTGCCCATTTTCATTAAATAACTGTTTAACAAATATAATACCATTGTCTATTAAACATATATGTGCCGAATCATGACTGCAATCCCCTTTCGTCACGCGCTGAGCGGAAGTGACGTACATAGCCAGAAGCGTGACGAAGGCTGGCTTAAAAATACAACAAGGAAGTGGACGTTTACTGTCAAGGCTAAAATAACATTCATAAAGGGGACATTTAATTTCCTATCGGTGTCTTATCACTGAATAAGTACCGGGAGGGTATAGTCATCTCGGACTTACCCGCAAGCCCGTGAGTATCTGTTAGAATAGCCGTGGAGCTCGAGTCCAGCAATGAACACGGACGTAGAATTTCACATCAGGCAGAATTACCCGTGGAACAAACTGCCAGCTAATGTCAAGCAGGTACAGTAACACACCGCACACAAACACCATCTGACTTGACTTTCCCATCACTGCCTGCCCTGCATGCATAATCATTCTCAGCATCTGCATGATTTCCAGATATACTGTCAGTCCTCTCATTCATTCAGTATCCGTGAACACACACACACACACACACACACACAGGTTTGTTTTTATGGTTTATGGGGACTCTCCATAGGCGTAATGGTTTTTATACTGTACAAATCGTATTTTCTATTGCCCTACACCAACCCTACCCCTCACAGGAAACTTTCTGCATTTTTTGATTTCAAAAAAAATCATTCGGAATTATTTATAAGCCTTTTGAATTACGGGGACACTGAAAATGTCCTCATAAATCACCTTCTCGTTGTAATACCTGTCATACCCATGTTATTATACAAATTTGTGTCCTCATAAACCACATAAACATGCACACACACACACATCATCATAATTATAGTTACGTTACTGTCATCAGATTCCTCTGCATGATATCTAATCATAAAAAAACTAGGAATTGCATTTTTTTTATATATAAATTAATCATTGCGTTAATGTGTGTTTGTGTCGACTTTGTATCAGATGTTTCTTCTAAAAGTTATTAAAGCATGTGGGAATAAAATAGTGTAATGTTTATTTATGCTTTGAAATAATATGTACAATATATTACACTGAACAATATATTATTCAAATAATGTTTAGATTTTATTGAATAATATTAAACACAGTAGTTCATGTTGTTTTATTTTGCCGTGAACAAAATGTAAATGATCATTATGTATGTGTATTTATTGTTTTATAATTGTTTATTGATATTTAGAATGTATTGATTTATTTTAGTTTTTAATCAAACAGATATATTTTGAGAGTTATTTGTCCACTGCAATATAGAATAGAAGAATTATGGCTAGAGAAACCATGCATCAGAGGGTTAAAAGGAGAACAAATGAGACAAATGCAGTAGGAATAAATGTGGGTAGCATAGAAATGGTGGCTTTGGAAATATTTGATAAAATTTTGATTTTTTTTTCAGAAGGAAATTATTTTTGACATTTGAAATCAGATAGACAAAGTCAGTTTCACATTCATAATATTCAATAATGCCAAATATTATGTGTTTGCATTGTGTAACTAAATCCATTGGAATTAAATATTTTTGCACTTTCATTTCTGTTTAAAAGCTTTGCAGTGTTTTAATTGTCATCTTGCTTTATTTATAGAGCCTGGGAAACTTGCAGCGTGAATATGACAAGCAGGTTCTTCTGTACAGTATTCGAAACCAGCTTCGCTTCCGCAATAACCTAGGTAAGCATTAGATGAACGGAGAAAATCTATTGCTTTTCTCTTCCATAACTCCTATTTTTCATTCTGACATTGTTCCAAACCATTTGTGTTTCTCACTCCACTCTGGCCAGACCAACAAGCTCATTGTAGCTCCTGTCAGCAGATGTAATTCAATTGAAATAATGAGCCTCGTTTCTCTGATTTAGTGTCCCACAACACTGTCAAAAACCTCTTCTCTAACAGTCAGGCATGTGAAGAAGGATGAACGCAAGTATTATGAAGAGCTGTTGAAGTACAGCCGGGAGCATCTGATGCTCTACCCCTACCACCTGTCTGACATCATGGTCAAGGGTCTGCGGGTCACCCCCTTCTCCTACTACATCAGCATCATGGAGGTTCGGTCAAGTCAACTATTTGAATGAAGTTTACCGGAATTGCTTTTTCATTCTTTATTATTTTTTTTGCAGCTTTTAATTGTAAAGAGAGAGAGATGGGGAGAATAGGAAGTTTACAAATTAAATTTTCTCAAACTACCACATTATTTTGTCTACACTTATCACTGATTCTGTGAAAACAGTCTTAACATATGGTAGACATGGGCTGTCATCCAAGCGTTCACTGTTTTACTGATCTAGTTTGCAAGTGTTTTTCTTCCTTTAATGATAGTGGCAATAGAGAAGTATTAACTCATAAGCTCATTACAGTACAAGTTCTGCATTTTGATAATGCTTCAGACAGGTTTGTTTGCTAGACGTTAGTGTTTTGTTTGCACATATGAGGATTACTGTAAATGACTCATGCAGAGTGTCAGCTTACCATATTTTATCGTATATAACAACAATGTCTGCTTTCTGTCTGTGTGGCTTCTGGTGTCACTTATGCAAATTCATTTACCGGTGTTCTTAGTAAGTTTTTAAAGAATGCTCTGAGAGCATTCAGAGGGAAAGTTCACTATCATTATTTACTTACTCTCATGTTATTCCAAACTTGTATGTCTTTCTTTTTTCTGAGAAAAGAGAAGTTTTAATGTTCTCTTCCATGCAATGAATGTAGATGGGAACCAGGATGCCAAACTCTCACAAAAAAAGCGTCTAACAAGTAGTTTATTGTTTTGTGTGAGAAAAATCAGTCATCATTCACTTGCATTCTATGGAAAATTGCAGCTTGGACAATCTGCTGTAAACATTTATTTTTGTTTTCCATCGAGGAAAGAAGGTCATATGGGTTTTGAAAGGCACGAGGAAATGTAAATGACGACAGAATCGTAACTCTTAGGTGAAACTATTGTTTCATTGGATTTCATTTGATTGCAAGTGCATGACCCAATCTCTTTCCCCTTCATTCAGGACATCATGAACTGTGAGAAGAGTTATGATTCCCTGCCCAACTTCACTGCTGCTGACTGTAAGTTGTTCTCTCTCTGTCAGAGCTGGGAATCATTATTTGTTACTGTTGCTGACTGCTCATGCACAATAACGAGACCACTAGAGACGACTGTACATTGCTCACTCAGAGTGAAGGGGCACAGAATTACTCTGACTAATAGTGAATGTGAATATTTTAATGAATGTACTTTGCTAATTCTTCAGAAAAAATATGGCATTGCTTTCTTGATGCTTTAAATGTGCCATATATTCCACAAAAAGATGCATTTACTGTTTAATGTGGCTCAGATGTGGCATACATGCATTTACTAAATAACGATTAGTGAAATAATATTTAGAAAATGTGAAATATATGAATATACAGAAACATGGGTAACATTTTATAATAAGGTTTAATTTCTTAACATTAGTTAATGCATGAGGTTGATTTAGCTTAATATTATTTTTGGAATATACTAATGGTCATTGTTAATTTATTATACATTAACTAATGTTAATTTATAACTGAAGTGTTAAAAATGTATTAGTATATGTAGAAATTAACATTATGCTGGAATAATAAATGTTCATTGTTAATTATGATTCCTAATACATTAACTGATGTTAATGAATTTAACATTATTGTAAAGTGTTAACAAAGTGAAATAGTTTGTGAAAATGGCACAGCATAAAAATTAAATATGAAGTAGGATTATAAAATGTATTCATGACAATGGTAAAGTTACATTTAATGGTGACATTAAAATTACATTAAATAATGCTGTTTTAAAGGGTTGCTGAGGTTCAAGTGTAAAATACTGTGTAAATAGACAGACATTGACATAAAATGTATTTAGACTTTGGACTGTGGCAATTCGTATGGCTAGTTGGATTATTCATTTTTGCAAATGAGTTTTGCAACCACCACAAAGGAGCAATATAATAGTATACAAGCACCTGACGACAAGACAAACCATCACATATTATTTTGTGGAAAAATGTAGAATTTTATTTTTAGAGTATCATTGCATTTTACGAACTCCTTATATTTACCCATATGTCTTGTCATTATTCAACTGAAAGAAATGTGCCGGCGTATCTTCGGGGAATTGATGTCAACGCTCTTATGTGAATTGCAGGCAAAGATTAAAGTGAATTGTGCAAGGCTGTACAGTCATACATATATTTGTACCCCAAAGCATCTGGGTACAAAATCATTGGCATAATAGCACATCATTAAACTATGTTATGAAACAAATCATTTGTAATTGGCCCATAATAGCTGGCTGTGCATGCTCGGAGATCTCACAGAACATGGTCTTTGGGTTGGGTAGACAGAAGGTAGCCAGCAGGCTATGCATGGGTTTCTCGCCCTAATCTCTTTGTCTGAAGTGAAGCTGCACTCCTGCCCTTCACAGCTCACCACACAGCCTTTGGCATCATGCCTGGCACATCGTGGTCAGACCTGGCCTTCTCTAATGATCCTAGACCCCTGTGCCTTTATGCATGGTGAGGGACAGGCTGCTGAGGCCCCAGGAAGGCAGGATCTGGGGCATAGAGGAATATGTTAAAATCACAGAGGTTCCTCCAAACACTAAAGGACATTTATGATGTCCTACCAATTGCATGCATAAGTGGTCAGCGCTCAATAGAGGTGAAAAATGGGTCCAAAATGTTCTGTGAACCTCAAACCACATTTGAAGATATTCGAAAACGCATGTAAGTGTTTGTAATGCTGCCTGGTCACTTATCAACTATCCATTGTGCTTTAGATGCACATACATGTACATCCAAAGTTTAAATAATGATTCTGCTCAAAGTTCCATTTTTATTCATTTCAGTTCACATTTATTCGTATAGTGCTTTTAATGAGACCTATTGTTTTAAAGTAGCTTTACAAGAGATGCACGTTTCTACATTACAATTAAGAGTAATTTGTTATCAGAGCTGACTGTCGAAGTAATGTCCATATGGCAGAAATGTACAGTTCCATTATAATAAAAATCATTCAGTTAATGACGCATTCAAGCAGAAACAAAGAACACGATTAAGGCAATGATTACATGTTGTGATCATAATGATTACAATGAATCAAACATTTGTTTAAAATTTGGAATCAACAGTGTGCAGATTTTTTTTTGCTTTTTTTATACCAACGTGTAGTGAATACTATAGACTTTTACCAATCAAATTTTATTAACATCTTTACACTGCAGAGGTAGAAAAGAAGCTGCTTCTGACATGGCATTTATGTTGACAAATGTATTTACACAATTACAAACAAAACATTACAAATGGTCCATGACTCCCATTATAAGCACTGAAGCTGTCTTACACTGCAAAATCAACACTTCAGTCAAAACATTTTCGCATTTGACTCAAAATTGATTGTTTAATTTTTTGTTCTTTTTGTGCCCTTATCTTGAATTTTTGTCCCAAGCCCTCGTTAATTTCCGATCCTGGTGTAAACAGGGTCATAGATTGCAGATTATTTGTCCATCCATAAAATATTTGGTAGTTCGTGTCCATTAGCGAATTTATTGATCTAACTGTTGATCTTTCAGGTCTGAGACTGCTTGGGATTGGCAGGAACCAGTACATTGACCTAATGAACCAGTGCAGATCTTCCAAAGTAAGTCGTTCTTGGTTTTACGCTGTAGATCAATTAGGATGTTATGGTTTACTTCCATGGAATATCTTCTGGGATTTCAACATGATGTTCATTAGATGGTTCTCAAATCTGGATGGTTTCATTGCTCCCTTTGAAGATGAAAGATGTAATCTATAGAGAGCAGTGCTTTGCACACACGGTGATAACCTCACACTGTTGCTTAAGCAGCATCTGTCTGTGGCTAGAAATTCTTCCGGAGGAAATCGGCTCGGGATCTCCTGCCATCAAAACCTGTGGATATCACAGTAGAGCCCTGGTGGGTGGTACAGACCGGATATATCACCGAGGATGACATCAGGGTAAGGCGGATTAATTTAACAATGTTTCTTTAGTCTTGTTCATAAAATTACATTAGGCTTTTGGAAATGGAAAAAGGGAAATAATATTACTTCAAAGAAATGGAATCAATGAAAATAGAAATAAATTATTCATTTAATATTTGTAACTGTGTTTTCAAACACACCTTTAACAGTTATGTAATTTTTAAATAAAAAAGATGAGCAAAACATCAAAACAAAGAACCAAATTATTCTCAACAGCTACATTTTCCCTCATATTTCCCACATGAAACTATCAGAGGACAAAATGTCTTCTAGTTGCTCATTTGAAGGTTTGTAACTGGAGTGAAAAACCTCTGGCCTTTATTGTTTTTGTGCTGGGTTGATTCCAGATCTGCTCTGTGGCGGAGAAGGCGGCCATTGATAAGATGATAGATTCTGGACCCCAGCTGACTGGATCAATGGAGTACAACGTGGTTCTGAGTGAGTGTCACTGAGACAGTTTCAGTTTTTTAGAAGACCACTTGAAATAAGGATGATCAAACCAGGTCATGCTCTATGCATAAATACAAGTCGGTGTACTCATATTTTAGCATTAATGTAATGATGTAATGTAAAAGACTTTGCTTTGATTGTCATCCTTTTTCAGGATTGCATATGGTGGAACATACTGATTTGCTAGCACTGGTGACCAGGCCTTTAAAAAAAATAATAGTGACATTAATATATAATAATTATTATATATTGCACCTTGTATTACCAATGATATTGCATATTTTGACACATAAAAACACATGTTTTAATGATATAATGGTCCAGAATTTGACAACTCTTAATTATAATTTTTATGTACACATTTTATATAAGCATAATTTTGATGGACTTTAACTTTTTAAACTTTGACAGATTGAAATGGGACTCCATAACTGCCACGGTGAATAATAATAATAAAAAGATTAAAATAGTAAAAGTTATATTCCCTCACTCCACTAATTATTATGTTAATATATTATATTAATAACATAATAATAATAATAAAAACAATGTAATATTTACTGAATATTTAACATTTCAGCCAAACTGTCATAGTCTGCATCCAGTCTGTACTGGTCTGCGCAGAGCTGTCCATTGGCCTGTGCAGATGACTGGTTTCCATGCAGAGCAGATAATGGCAGCGCAGAATCCAAAAGTGTGGGGCAATTTTGAAGTCAGACCAGTACGACCTCTAACAAAAATGTTGTCGCACATGCAGGAAAAGTGTTTGGAAAAAGCCACCATTTAGTCACGGTCTGAAGCCCTGTGTTTTTATGGGTGGTACATTCAGTACAAGAACTTTCTATTTATTTATCTTCTCCATTTTTTCAGGTTTGTACAATCGGGGCTATATATATCTTGATGTGCCCATATCAGATGACAGCTGTATATCAGGTAAGCACTGCAGTTTATCAAATGGGCTTTAATTTGAACCTCTTTGGAAAAGGATTTTGCTCGTCCATCGCCACAGATTGTACGTAATAGCGGATGGGAGAATCATTGATCAAAAAGTGTTGATAGGATGATCACAAATCCGTTTTGGAAGAATAGCAGAGAAAACATCTAGGTTACTCTTCTTGGTTTTCATTTTCAGTGCCGCCGCTTGAGGGATTTGTCATGAACAGAGTCCAGGGGGATTATTTTGAAACGCTACTCTACAAAATCTTCGTTTCCATCGATGAGCAGACTAATGTGTCGGAGGTGTTTGCAGTGCACTTTTCATTTCTTTTTAGTGATTCTGCTTGTCTTTGAGAATCTCATAGCACTTTTCTGTTTGTCATTTCAGCTGGCTAATGTACTGGAGATTGACTTGGGCCTGGTGAAGGTACGTGTCATGCAGGGATGAAAATGGAAGGCCATTTACATGGAATGTTTGATATGAAATGATGCCTTTACAGCTGACTGGGAGGACGGTGAATCCAGGATGCACTGGTTCTGGAATTACCGCCGCAAAGGCAATTTTCCAAATTCTTTGGCCTTTTGATGGGTTGTGAAATGAGTCCTCCTTTGAATGTATGATGCAGAATAAGGACAGAACCATTGTGTTCACACATTTCCTGTGTAGCTGTTTAGCACCATTTCAGTATCTGGCAGAGTGGAAAACAAGCTTATTCATGAGCTCTGTCATGAAAATCCATAACTTCTTATTAGAAAAGCCAACTCCGATGTGACTCAAAGGACACAATCTTTAACAATGAATTTATTTTTACACAAGTATTCATTTTCATTATCTTTGACATTTTGCTAAGACAAATAGAATGAAACGTTTCCTGCAGTCATCCTATTAGTGAAAACCTATTCATTTAGTAAATGATGATGACAGAGTATATTTGAATCGATCCATTGCCGTCAGTGTTTGTGTGGCAGACATGGTTCCTTTTGATAGCGATGTGCCTGAAGACAAATGCTTTCATTGGAAAAGCTTGAATATTGGACCTTGTTTTTGAAACATGAGACATTTTTTTCTCTTTTCTTTTTCTTCTTTTTTTGTAAATAATTGATAAAGCCAATCAAAGTATCCATTTATATAAGAATAGTTTTATGAACTTTATTAATGAATGATTTATACAGAATTTAATTCTGCTCATTTTTTACGAATGACTTTAAAATAACGAACACACTCCCCTACCCCCATACACACACGCACATACACAGTGCTATTTAAATTCTAATTTTTTCCCCACCATAATTTAAAGTACAATGAAGGAATATAGTATCCGGCTGTATGGAGCCCAAATCCTGACCTACTTTCTCCAGTACTATTCAATCTTTCTCAATAGCTAACAGAGTTTTATCTTCATATGTGACAGTACCGCAATTTTCTTTTCTTTTCCACTTCACCTAGAGCCATTCTGAGTCGTGCTTATGGCCATGTAGAGAATAACCTTTGGAAAAATAAGGGAATATGTATTCATAACCTTAGCTTGGTTGGCCTAGCTGCAGAATCAGTTGGATGCAACAGATTTGATGTTTCTTGTTGTCAGGTGAAAATAGTCTTGGATTATTCATGAAGATGTGTGTGGATGCTTTCCAAACATAATTCAGAGACTGGCTGACTTCCTCATAAAGTAACTGTGCTAACATGCTATTATAGTAGTTAATAATCATCACTGGATTGTGTATGAATATTGGACTTTTTTTCTATTGTCTTCCAGAATGCAGTGTCCATGTATTGTCGCCTGGGGTTCGCTATCAAAAAGGGTCAGGTGATCAGCCCGGACCAGCTGCACCCCTCGTGGAAGAGTGCCCCTTCGGTCAATAGACTCAAGTATGAGAAGACATACTTTACACTGATGAATAGGCTTTTAGTGCTGGCTCACGTCTGAGAAACAAACAAAACTCTTGCTGCTCTAGAAATCTCAAACTCCGGGCCGTTCACACATTAAGAGATTTTATCTGTGTTATTGGTCATAGTGGCCAGTCTTACTGCTGGACGCACGGAGTTTATTGGTGGGCTGGCCATATCATAATCTGGCCATACCATATCGTAATCACAAATATGACTAGGATTAAATCCTTCCAATGAATTGAATATTGATTCCTAAAATCCTAGGATTGGTATTTTAATTGATGCATAAACATGTCTGCCAAACATAATTTGTGCCACCTCACGTCTAGCAGATGTTGCTGGGTTAGTGGTGGATAATTGTTGACACCTAACACATGCAGTTCTCAACCTCTATCATATATCTATTCACCATGCTAGCTATTTATTTAATTATCATGCAAAACATGTTAGATAATAATACTTTATCAAAAATTCTTAATTATTATTAAAAAATAATGTAATAATTCAAAGTAATGAATTCTTCAATAAAATAAAAATATTTTATTATATTATTGTTGTAATTGTTATGCATTATTATTTATTAACTTCCCATAAAGGAAAACCTTTGGTTTTTTTGTGTTCTTCATAGTGACATTATAACAACTCTTCATTCAAAATCTGGAAAAATCTGAATAATCTTCTTCTCTGTACCAATGTCTTATATTAACTTTGCATCTAATATCTAATAATCTAACAATTTGTAATAGCTAAACTATTTGGAAACGTTAAAGGTAAAATAAAGAGAACCTTGTAGTGTCATGTGGTAAGTAATTGTTGACATTGTAGCTTGAATATTCCCAAATGATTCACTAACAAATTGAAATCTGAACTGAATCAAGAGCTTGTGATTTGAGAATCAAATCAAATCAGAATGGGAATGTATAGTCGGTTAAAAATCTAATTATAATGTGACTAGCAGTTGCTGTATGTGTGAATGTCTCTTCAGTCTGGTGTTTCACTGTGTTTTATATCTGAGTGTTTTCTCACGTTTGCCAGAGGCACTATGGACCCTCAGAAGATGCTTCTGTCATGGGAGGGTGGCAGTCCAGTGATGGAGGCAGGTTCCTCAGCCACTGATACAGACACCACCAGCCTGGAGGACCAGGGTGAGAGCACAGCAGCATTCATTAAATCATAAACTGCTTTCCACTCATCCGTTAGACACTAGCTCACTTTACTTCAGTGTATTATTAAACATTAGTCTGGCTACCATCAGTACAGAAATCATAATAACGTGAATTAAATTGACTGTGATTATTTTTTTTCCCTGTCCTCTAGACACTGCAAGTGTGAGCAGTCTAAGTATTCCAGTCGCCCCGACTAAGAGGATCGCCTTCCTGTTTGATTCCACGCTCACTGCCTTCCTCATGATGGGCAATCTGTCCCCTGTTAGTGTCTAGTGTTAAGTATTTCTGCTTTACAATTGACATTAGTTGAAGCACTACATGTGGCTTATTTTACTGTGTATTTTAAAGGGGTCATGAACTGCCTTTGTTTTTTATTTTGTACTGTTCTCCGAGGTTCACCTGTTATCAAGATTTTTACATAAACTCATCAGAGCGCTCTTTTTGAATAGGCGTGGTGGATTGTAGACTCTGAAGTAAACACCCACTGCTATGATTGGCTAACAGTTGTGAATGTTTGCCAGCCTACATCCTTCTTAAATGGACGCTGCTGTGTTTTAGGTTAAAAACGCATAAATACACAGTACATATCAAATTATCTGTAATAACAGACAAAGCAATAGTGATCACGTAATGAAAACGGTTACTCACACTTGTGTAGTGCGACATCGGATCCAATATAGTTTGCACAGCATCGTCTTTTCGTTTCAATCTTTCTGAAAATCCTGTGCTGAATTGTGCCTTGTTTGTAAACGAATCCACGGTAAAATGAAGTGAACAAAGGACCACGTTTTTACTGACGCGGTCTGGAACTTCAAATAAAAATAAAGTTCATCAAATAAAGTTTATCGTTTGGTTTCTGCGTAGACCTGCGTTTGCTGCTCTTGTCATTTACCTACTGTGCGTGAGTCAGTGGGCGGGGCTAAACATGCAGTGATGTAGAAGCAGGCGTTGATCATCATCTGCGGAGGCGATGTTTAGCCACACTATTATATCACAAAGTGGCACATTCCACAAGCTGTCGTTTTGGCAGATTGGCTTCAATACTTTAACTGACCCTTTTTATCAAAAGTTCAAGAGATTTTTGATTTCTCAGTTTATGACCCCTTTAAAGGTGTTTGATAATATTTAGTGCACTGGTTCAAAGTTGGTGGGTTGTGACTGAAAACAGGTTGCAGACAGGGTTGCCAAGTCTGTGGTTATACCGGGGAACTACTTTTCAACTGTTGCCACGGGTTGTTTTTTTTAATTTTTTTGCCTTCCTGAAGGTTAAAGGTTTGACATATTACATAAATTGTATTTGACTGAAATGCTTCAACTGAAATATTTTTACCCATTTAATATTCTACCAATGATAAAACTATGCTTAATGATACGTTTTGTGAGGGAGGGGCACTGGTAGGGAGCCTTTGAGCTCCTCATGATTACAGTGTTATAACAGTTTTATAACACTGTTATAAAAACCGTTATGTTGATGATTAGTGCTGTATAGTGATTTTCATGCTAAACTTGTGTATAAAACATAACATAGGAGTAGTATATTTTGACTTTTGATATTTGGCTAGTTATGGGCTGTTTTTGATTGAACGTTAGACAACAGCAAAGGTAATCTAAATGTAAAAATAAGGGAAAGAAGAATGCATTATTAAAGAGCCAATATGGACCTTTAACGATACATTTAAGAACTCTCATATCAGCCTATATCCGATCTTACTGATACTTATGTCGGGCATCCCTACTACAGTAATTGTCCTCTGTGGTATTTAGATGCTAATTAATCTGTTACTTTGTAGAAGCAGCCAAACGAAGCAGATGCCAATATGGGCAGGTTGTATGACATGCATTTATCCTAAAAAACATGAACAAAACTACTTAAATGCAACCCAGAATATGTTAAATATGAGTTCACGTGCTGAAAAGACAAAACCTGGTTTGTGCCCTCCACAATGTGTTTAGTGTGGATATATATACTTTCTGTAAGTAAAATAACTTTTACATAATCATTTGATATGTTAGGCCTATGACCGACTGCTTATTACATCTTGGGGTCATGACCCTGGGGTTGTCCCGTCATCCAATGTGCTAACAATGCTGAATGATGCCCTCACCCACTCTGCTGTGCTCATCCAGGTAATACAGGGAGACCCTGAACACTCAAGAATTCTCATATCTAACACCTTCTCAATCTAATCTAATTTTAATTTCATTTTAAAACATTTAACAAAATCACTGTTTTCAGGGTCATGGAATGCACGGTCACGGTGAAACTGTCCATGTCCCATTCCCATTTGACGACGAAGACCTTAAAGCAGGTAAAGTCTTAGTTGTGTATACATATAGTGGCACAGGGTTTTTTAGGGTCACTGTAGATGTGTTTAGCACTCTGAATAGCCCAGTCTTTCTAACTGGCCGCTCCGATTTGTGTTGCCTCTCCCAGAGTTCTCATATTCCAATATGTGTGCGCACAAAGCCCTTAAGATCCTGCGGGACAAAGTGGATCTGGAGCACCAGTGTGGCTACATCACCATGCTCAACCACAACAACAGACATCGCAGACGACCCAGTGACGCCGACGGTGGGGCTAAGAGCCGCTTCTTAATTCTAACTGTCCATTTAACAGATCTCTGAAATGCCTGATAAGGACAGCCCCTATACTGATCATTAGCCACTCCAGGGCTATATCGATAAGTGCTGCAATTAGATTAGAATGAGAGCAACCGGTTCAAGCTTTTTCCAGTGTGTTTTATTAGAGCAGGTCTCTAATTCAATTAATGTTTTAATTGCAGTCCACACATTTGACTGCATCACTAATCAGAGTGAAACCTGAACGCTACCTTCAGGGTCTCAAAGGAACTTGAGATTCACTCTCTTTGCTTTCCTCACAGGAGACCCTGAGCTTAGCGGTGTGCTTGATGCCAGTGGAAGCAATGAATCTTTTGAGCTGGTTACGGAGGAGAATAACGGAGACGGCAGCAAGAAACCGGGAACAGAAGGTAGGTGTTCTTTGACTGAGAGCCAGAATCTGCAGATTTTGTTTGAGAAATCATACAGAATAGAGTTAAACGTGTGTTGTGGGTACTGATAATCAATCGGGTCATGCGACCGAGTCAGTATGAGGTGCTCAGAAAATCCCGTTTGTTCACTCTCCCAGTGTCGTCCAGTGAGGATGAATGGGTTCCTCTGGAGCTTTGCTTTGGGATGCCTCTTTTTAGCTCGGAGTTAAACCGCAAAGTGTGTCAGAGGATCGTCTCCCACAAACTCTGCAGCAAAGACAGGTGACAACTTGAACAAATGTCCCCTTTTTTATTTTTTTTTACTGTGCCTAAGAGTGCTTAAAAATACTGTGTTTGCAGACATGCACTGGCATACTAAGCAGCGATGAGCACCATAGCTTAATGTGCCAATGCATGTCTGCAAATATTTCTAGCAAAGCAAATTTGAATCCAGCCCAATATTTTACTGATCCCTGTTCCACTTCTTTATCCCATCATTTCCTGTCCTCTGTCCACTATCTATATTAATAAAAGTGGCAAAGGGCTAATAAACTTCTATTTAAAAGTTTGGGGTTGGTAAGATTGTTTTCTATTCACAATATTATTGTGAAATAATAATAATAATATTATTTATTAATATTGTTGAGAAATAATTCCAATAACGTTTTTTCTATTGTAATATGTTCATTGTTATATATAGATTATGTGCAATAAATTGAAAGCTGCAGTCTATAACAATTTGGTTAAAAATTATCCAAAATTCATTTTTGGGCGAGTACATTACTTTAAATGTGACCGCGGCTTTAAATGTCAAGTTAATTTTGTAGTATTTTTTGATGTTGTTGTTGTTAATGCTTTGAGTTCCTTTTCCAGAAATAAAACTAAATTAAATATGTAATGATATAATTAATCTGCTGTAATTAACATTCATGTTTGTACAAATGACGGTTTGTTGAGCTTTTCATTATAATTAGACATGTTATAACATGCTATAAATAAACTATCTAAATAATCATACACATAGAGTACCAATTCTATGTATATTCAGAACAAAAATATAAATAGTTCACCTTTGGCACGTTTTATTATCATCGCTGGCTTTTTTTTATGTTATCGCCCCTACCACAGTGACAGATAACACTAAAATTGGTGGTGTGAGAAATCACACTTGTCTCTGTGATAGTCAGTGTGACTGGCCTCTTCTTTAATCAGAACCAACGTCTCTTGAATGAATGCATTAAAAGAAAAATGAAGCATATTTAATTATGTTCGTTTTGACGGCCTTAATTACAGTATATATGTTAAAACTGGACTAAAGAATAAAGAACACACTCTGTTTCTTTTGCAGTCTTCAAGAGTTACTACATTCCAGTCGAAAACTGGCATTAAAAGTTCTCAGTTTTGTTCATTCATTGCAGGTAAATCTTCACCAATTTTATTTTGTTCCGAATATAATGTGGGTTTAGTTCATAGGAGCAGTGCTAATGTCTTATTTCAAAGATGTCATTCAGCTGTATTACAGTCATGGAAAACCAGGACGTATCAGCAAGTTTTAAAATGGCTGTTTCCTACAGGAACTTAATGAAATCTTATAAAGTCATGGAAATTTCTATAGTGGATATATTTTTTTTCTAGTCATGTTCTGCTCTGAAATATTTCCTCAGCTAGAAATTGCTCTATGAGAGTGCAATCTCTATAAAATTGGGCAAGAAATGTGAGACCCATGGTATTTTTCACGGTCAGGTGTTCTTTGTATGTGTCTTGAGTTGACTATTTTTCACCGTCCCTCACAGGATGGAAAACAGCCCGCAGACCCTGACAGCGGGGTCTGGGGTCCCCTGAGTCAGCCCCCGGCAGAGTCTGGGGTCCCCCTCCCCGCAATCAACCTGCTCTTCAAGGACGGCGAGCTGAAGGAATGGAGCGGCCGAGCGCCGCCCTCCCTGCACTTCTCTGCCCCACAGAGAGATCAGCCCACATAAAACACTACCCTCAAAATAACCCTGTTCAGATCCACACCATACACTGCTAATGTCATGAGTTACCATGTTACCTGTGGCACTCAATCACACACAGCCATCAAGCGCTGCTGCCGCCATCCGTCACGTCTGGATGCGAGCGTCCAGAGTAAAGTCCCGACGGCTTCAATCACACGTCCTATTCACCCAAACAAAAACTAGAAAATCTATTTACAAAAAACCTTTTAATGTGTATATAGACTTTGCTTGGAAAACATAGGACCAATCCTGAGGTTGGATGAAGTCGCCCTACTCGTATTACCATGTTTTGTGACCTGATGCATGATATTACTGCACAAAATCTCAAAAACTACTTGACTGAATCAGCAGGGTTTGAAAACACAAAGTTGAGGTTTACGTTTTGCACAAAGCCTGTGGATGACATTCAGGTTTATTCAATTTTTTCTATTGGAAATCAAGACCTTTGTTGGGCCTTGATTAAGGTTTTAGGTAGTATTCCAGCTGGAAATCTTGTCCGTCTCAATTCTGCTTGGCAGAGGAGCGTTTCTGCTTCACTGAGACCAAAGACCAACTTGTTTTATGTTGAGTTTTACTATTATTTTAATTTGCGCTGCCTTATTTGCTTTGTGCCCATTAGACTACTGTATCACCAAATGCGTTTATTCAACTAGGCCAGTTTGAACATGTTCCCACTATCTGCTTTTGTCTACAAACCTTCAAGTAGTGACAACAAGGTCATCGATTATCCATCAGTACCTAGATGTGTTGAATATCAGTATAAGTTTAGAGTTTATTGTGCGAATATACAGTAATACAGCATTAAATTCCCCTCAGTGGCCTGATTTTTTTCCCCTCACGCCTTTACTGAGGGTGCTGCCAGTGTTTCCCCAATCAAACCTTATGGTAGTGGTGTATGAAGACCGATTAGAGATCTTGGTGCTGCATGATGAGTGTGTAGATTCATTGTGTGTATTGTGCACCATCCTCTCCTCATCTCTTTATTTCCCCTTTCCATTCCTTCCTGCATCGATACGACCCAAAACAACACCGGCTCCGTGCCTGACCCTGTCACAGTGTTAGGGAAAAAATAACTGATAGTTTTATAAAGTCGCCCTGCATTTTAGGAATGCTCTGTTGTAGTGTGTTTGATGGGACTGTGAACATGCTCTTGTAATTAAATGGGTACAGAAGTTAAATTTTCCCCTCACTCCATCCCATTCTCCAAAATATATGTCATAACAAATGAGTATGTAAAAAGTATATGAAAGTACTAATAAATATGTTACAAAAGCACCCATTGCAAGTGTTAGCATGGAGTTTGTCATTTAAAAAGCTGTTTTCTTCAGGTTGTTGATAGGTCGGCTACAGACAGGCTGGCTCCCCGGTGACTGTAATTACTATAGCAACACAAATTCAGGGTGTCACCAGGGGGCACTGAGGCGCTGAAATGGGGCATATCATCATAGGAATAGCACAAACCAGAAGAAGAAGAAAAAAAAGCATCTGATGTTGCCTGTCAACAATTCATATTGAGATGCTCTTTATTTTTCCATCCTACAATATGCACAAGGCCAGTGTATGTAGTGGTTTGACTTTCTGTCATTAATTTTATAATTAATCTTGTAGCTTAATAATTAAAATTCGTTTTATCTGGAGGCTTGCTCTTTAAAACTAGGTCAGTGACTATAGTCAGAAACTTTCAATATTTCAAGAAATGTGTGTATGGGAGGAAATTTGACACAGCGGGTGGCTACCCTATCCATTTTTATTGTAGATGTGCTGCAGCCTATGAAATTTTTATACAAAAATACAGACTTGTACAAAAGGAATATAACCTTCTACTTCAGTCTCTGTATTTTCAGGCTTTCATGTTTCTAAGCAGTGCATGTAGAAAAACAAAACTGGCATTATCCATGTAATTAAATATATCTTGGATGTTATTTTTCACTTAATTGGTAGGGTAAATACTTTTATTTACAGTTTAAATGACTTATTCTGAATTATTAAAAGCTCAAATTCATGGCGCACAGCACCCCCCCATGTTGCCATATTGACTCTTTTGTGATATTGTTTCATATTGTGTCTTTACATAGAGTAAAGAGCCATTCACAACCTATACGCAGATGGCGAATTCACACCAAGATTGATAACTAATAACTATCAGCATCCACACCAACAGATGAAACCATTGTGCTTATTATGAGCAAGCTCTGCATTTATGTTGTCTGTCTTTAAATGCTCAAGCTGTTCATTAAGGTGGAAAAAATAATTCTGAATGTGAGTCCAATATCTCTACCTCACAATTCAGACTTTTTTTTTTTTTGAATCGTGAAATGTTAACTGAGAAATAAATAAAGAATTGTGAGACTTAACTCGGAATTGTGAGAATAAAGGTTAGAATTCTGAGTTTATATCTAGAAGAAAAGTCTGAATTGCAAGTTCAAAAATTCACAATAACCTTTTTGGATTTTTATCCTGTGCCAAAAACTGGCTTCCATACTATTCTCATAGAACCGGAACAATTATTAAAATCTTGTAATTATCTTTATCGTCCTTAATGTAAATGGGCCTTATTTGCTGACATATGATAGAAGACATTTGCAAGTTTCTTTCATCCAGCAGTTTTTGATTTTGGCATTTTGAAGTAGGCCTACGCCGTTACTATTTTTGGGTAACTGTTCTTGGTCAAGTTAAACTAAGTGGAGAAACTGCTGCTCATTGTACAAGTGAATGAATCACATTCAGACTATTTTGACCGATTAGATCAACAGTGATTGATTTGCGAATCTGGCAGTGCTAGTTCTGATTCTAACGGTTCAGAAAACAAGAATGACATGATTGCTGGAATATTACGGTATAGGCCTACGTAAAATATCTCAAGAATTTATCAGTAAAAAGAGTCTAGCGACACACTTATTTGTGAACAAAATGTTGGCTACTTTATATGTAGGCCTAATTAACTAAATTACTTTATGCATTATTATGACATAGGCCTAAGTTATATGTTTTTGTTTGTTTGCTGTTTACAGTAGTTCTTGTGGCTCCTCTAATATGATTGGCAGAGCAGCACTGCAGCAGGCTACTGTTAACAGGACAGCCCTGAGTGAGCTACTTTATCATATTAATACTTCTTAATGACACAGGTCTAAACTGCTTTACACAGCGATGCCTCTTTAAATGTGTGTGGCTGTGGCTGGTTTTCTTCAGCTCTGCCTGTTAGTTCGCGTAATATCTGGTAAACCCGAGCAACGCGCAGCAGGTGCAGTTCACAACACAGAGAACATTTTGACAAACAAACAGAGCGCTTTACGTTTCTGCAAGGACGGAAATAACGCGTTTGTCGTTCTATTCGGATACCGGAGCAACATTTTATTCATTTCATCACTGTCAGTGAAGCTTTGAAGAACTTTATGCTTGGAAACATCATAGGACTACTAACTAACTAACTAACTAACCGCCTGGAGCAACAACGCGAATCATTGGACACACAGACTGGATGTGACCTCTGACTTATCCCACACAATAACACGCAACTCTTCTTGTATAAAGTGCTTTGTTTTGGTCTGTAATTGTGATGCGCGCGGATCTGGCATATGCAGCTTTAGTAAGCAACTCTCTGCGCAGACGGAGCATCGCAGTGACTCTTCTTCCACATGTCCATCTCGCTCTGCTCGTAACAGGTGGAGCTCATTTCACTCCATCTGTCCGCTGCTGAAGTGGCATATATGGGCAACCAGGTGGACAAACTGTCACACCTAAGTTACGCCGAAGTTCCCACGACCGACCCTAACGGACTGGACACGGAGGAAGACGGCCCGCGGATCGGGGTCTCCTACATTTTCGCCACCGACGACGACGAACTGGACGATAACCCTCATCAGCATCAGCATGTCGGTGGCTCGGAGCAGAAGGAGGAAGAGAAGCGCTACAACGAGCTGGACTGCGCGGTTTACCACCGAGACGAGTGCATTTATGAGAGAAGTAGCAACACTCCGGAACTGGAGACGTTCAGCCCGGAGAATTTATTGAACAAATGCAAGCCCGGGGACGTGCTGGAGTTCGTGTCCGCCGGTCAGTACCCGCACTGGGCTGTGTATGTGGGGGACTTCCAGGTGGTGCACCTGCACCGGGCGGAGGTCAAGAACAGTTTTCTGACCGATGCTAGTCAGGGCAGGAGGGGCAGGATCGTTAACGAGCTGTACAAATACAAGCCCCTCAGTCCTGACATGGTGGTGCAGAACGCGATGGAGCAGGTGGGGGCCAAAGACAGAGAGTTAAGTTGGAGGAATTCGGAGTGTTTCGCCGCATGGTGCAAATTCGGTAAACGGGAGTTCAAGATGGGAGGGGAGATACGGATAGGAAAACAGCCGTACAGATTAAAGCTCTTCTTGCCTGACAAACAGTTTCATGTGCTGGAGTTTCAGAGTTTGGAGGATTTGATCATGGAAAAGAGGAGAAACGATCAGATCGGTAAAGCGGCAGTTTTGCAGGAGTTGGTGCATCATTTGAGCAATAGCGGAAGTGAAGCGGCCGTTCATTGATGTGCAACAGGTAGCGGAGAGAAATGTATCCCAGCATAACATGTGCGTGATTCTCACGAAACCCGTCCAGAACGTTTAACTGCAAAATTCAAATCAATTGTTTTAGTTCAAAGAAAATGACAAAACTGGGACAGATTGTGATTGGTCAACTCCATGATACAGTACCAGCTCTTCATCATATCACTGCGCCGCTCCCATAGCAGATGTTCTGTCTTGTCAGGGACTACATCTTTTAGCGGAAGGATATTACTTAATTAATTTAATAATGATAATAAAAGTTTAAATAAAAAATGTGTCCTCGATATTTTTAATTTGTTGCAACCGTCTTTATAAAAAACAATAAATAGGCCATGCTGCATTGTGAATATAGTAATGGCTAAAAGAATCAGCTAGTGTCCCCATATTGACAATGTATAGCACACGATGGGTTTATTGGTTAAGATGTTTTGGATAGTAACTTATTGTGAAGCGTTCTTTTCATAACAATTAAGCAAAAGCCCCATTGCTGTAATGCAAAAATATGTTCTTATAGACTCTGTAATATGGTGAAAAAAAATATATTATAGTAGGCTAGTATTAGCACCGTCAATTTATGTTGATTTTAATCAAATAAAAAGCATTGAAAATAATGGAAATAGCAGCCTAGGCGTAAGCAGGCTGAATTATGCTAATGAGAATTGGGTGGTAAAACTTGCTAAATTGTCTTAAAAAATAGTGTTTCAATGCAAAACATCTTAATTGTCATAAATGTATAGGCTTCATTTACTTTTAGCAAAAATATATTTTTTCTTAGTTTTGGGGCTTCGTGAGATTCATCTGTATGTTGGTATCTGACATCACATATTATGATGACAAATTATGTTAATTTTCCTTCTGTTGGAAATCGAAATCATTTCACACTCAGTTATTACATATTTTAAGTTGGATGGTATTATTTTTCAAATCGATTGCCTCTCAAGTTGTAAGCTGTTCTCTATAATGTCTAATCAGGCTCTCTGTGAGTTGCAAAATAGCCATAAATCATCATATGTGGACCTTGCTTTATAAAAGTTTTGGCACACATGAAATTACAGCAAGTAAACATTGACTGAATCCACCTGTTTACCCTCTCTCTCTCCGTTATTCTTGATTTCATCATTACACAATCTGAGAACATATCTGACCTCACATCATGGTCTTTACGTCAGTGTGGTGCATTTATAATGCATATGTATGTAGTTTTGTGTATTTTTGCGACTTTGGAGCTCCTACAGTTAAGTGAGTGGAATTCACTGTCATAAATATAGCAATATAGCTGTACGTGTGCATTTGTTGCTGCCGTAAAGCAATCCACTCTTTTCACGGAATTTCGCACCCTCTCATCAAACTACTGACTTCCAGACAGATGTTTGGCGGGAAGCAAGAGAAAGAAACAGAAGTCATTCAGGGTAATGATTTTGAAACTGAAGGTGAAAACGTACATAAATGTGCGTTAAGTAACTGAACATTCATTATACTTTTGACATTAGTATCCACATTTTTCCTGAACATGGGAAGTCGCACATGATTCATACCGGAACAATGCTTTACATTTCCGGTTTCTGGTGTTTCTAGTCAATTTTTCCAAATGGATAATGTAATGTTAAATCTATGAAAATAGTTTAAGAAAAGAACGTGGCTCCATAGTTTAATCACTTCACAGTGTCGCAGTGACTGACTTTTTGCAGTGGATCACCTGAAGTTTATGACATGAGTTTATGACATGAGGCGG